GCTTTTCTACAGCCACCCCTCCGCAAGCTCTCTCCGTGAGCGAGCTACAGCAAATAACTGATGACATTTCCACACTGTCCATTGTGCACGAAACTGTTATCAACAGTGACTTCAAACTGCAAGCAGCCAGCCTCTCCCCAGACAGGTATGCGTAAATATATATATTTTCAGGCTTGGCTTCTTTCTGTCACATTACAGAGAACACACAAGAATGTGGAAAGGAGGTGGGTTGGGATCTGGTTGTAGACATAACAAGAAAATAAGGTAGCTCCTGAAATAAAATTAAAAAAAAAAAAGTTAGAGATTGTTTTATTTACTCACTGCTTTACTAAGAAGTTCTTGATTATGGTGTCTGCTGTGACTCACTGACATTGAGCGATTTATAGAGGCTTCAGGCTGCATAAGCTGTGACTTTGACGTGAAGAAAGCAGTATTTTTAATGGAAATCTCTGAGGTGTCTGCGTTTTAGTTAAAGATCTGTTTCAGTGACTGACGTTCTCTCATTGCAAAAACAAGCACCAGCGAGAAAAACGTTCTGTTATTCTTCTCTGAGGGCTTGGAGAGTTCCCTTGGAAAATGCTCTGCTCTTTTTACCTCCCAGTTAAGGCAGGGTAAGTGCTGCATTTTATTAACAGGGTTGAAAGGAAGGAGTTTAATTTCAGAAAATTTAAGTTGAGAGAGATTTCTATGAGGTAGAGAAAGGTGAGGTGTATTGCTGCTGGTTAGGACTAAAGACTAAGAGAAGAAAGTGTCCAAAGATGTGAGCTGCAATGAAAGCCAAGGGGAACGATCCCATCAAACGGAGAGGTTGTGTTTGTCTGGTGTTAATAGAAAACCTCTCCCCTCTGTGTTTTTTCTTAGCCTGGAAAGCAGAGTGAAGGACACCTTGCACAAAGCCTTCTGGGACAGCCTGGAGGAACAGCTCTCTGCTACTCTCCCCAGCTACACCCAGGCAATCCACCTGCTGCAGGAGATCAAGGAGGTGAGCAGGTCCTGAACCAGAGAGGATGGTTACCTTCAAATTAACCTACTCTGAATCATCACCTCATCCCTTACGTCCAATACTCCTATGTGAACATGTGTAAGAGGGAGGAGAAAATAGGCTCCCTTTAGTTTATAGGGAGACACAAATTACACAACTGCACCTTCTAAAACCTGTCTGAGAAGGAAACTCAGCCTCTGAGCCCAGGTCTTTAAAACACAGACTCCACCAAAAGGGTGGAAAGTCTTTCTTTGAAGTGTTGGTTATAGTAACAGCCATAGGCATTCCT